ACCCAATCTAAAGAAAATCCTAACCAGAGCAAGATTTGCATCGGACAATGCCAAAGTCGTCAAAAAGTGCCGTGACCCACACTGTGGAACATGTGAATATGTGGAGGAGGGCAGTGAAAAAACTCTAAAATGTTGTAAAAAAATTAACACCAAACGCCAACATGAGCTGCAAGTCAGAAAATGTTATTTATTGCATAACCTGTCCAACCTGTGATGAATACTACATAGGACAAACCAGCAAACTGAACGCACGTCTGCGAGTCCATAAACAACAAATTCGGGACCCTGACATAAGAAATACGCCGTGCAGTGAGCACTTTGCTATCTGTGGGAAAGGCAATTTTAAAATATTTCCATTTTATAAAATGCACAATGACTGTGAAATATCCAGAGTAGCAAAGGAGGACTACTTTATTAAATTATATAACCCAAAACTTAACAGAAAATAATTGCTTCAGAGTTAAATTTCTATTTAATTTTCTATTTGTTTTTGAATTACAAGTGATTGTAACTGTGCGAATTATGATGCTACCTTTTAACGTTATTATGACGTCACAAAGGACAATAATTGACGTCTTGCTTAGGAACGTTACTAAGCAATTTCATATTCATTTTGTAACTGTCTGAAGAGCCATTAAAAGGCAGAAAGCGCTTACAGTTAAAATGATTATTCGAGTCTTGTGATTCTTGATTTTTTCATTGGATATATCAATACTTTACTGTACCAATAATTGGATTTTTCATTTAGTATATATATATATATATATAAAAAATAAAAATCCAAAAAATCACAAAATATTTTCTGCAAGCGCTTTCGCCATGTTAGGCTCTTCAGGCAGTTATACAAATGTCAGGTAGGTTACCTGGTAACGTCCAAAAGCAAAAGTTCATTGTGACGTCATAATAGATCAAGGTAGCGTAAAGTTGCCGTATTAGATAATGTACAAATATTGCATTAACTTGAACACATAATATGCATAAAATCTTACAATATGTTATATAATAATGTATCATTTTCGATTAAGCTTTGGTTTAAAGAGTTTGATAAAGTAGTCCTCTTTTGCCAAACGCAGATTTTCATTTTCATTGGGAAGTTTATAAAAAGGGAAAATCTTAAATAATCCTTTGCCGCATTTTGCAAAATGTTCACAACATGGTGTATTACGCACACTAGGGTCTTTAATTTGTTGCTTGTGTACACGAACCCGGGCATTTAGTTTCCCCGTTTGTCCAATATAGAATTCTTTGCATGTCGGACAGATTGCACAGTAGATAACGTTTTCGGATTTACAGTTCATTGGTGAATTGGTTCTAATTTCCATTCCTGATTTAAGTTGGATTCTATTTCCCTCTTCTAAATATGTACACGTTCCGCATCTTGGATTTCCGCATTTTTTAATGGTTGGAATTTCCTCCTGTGTAGTAAAACGGGCCTTGGTTAACAATTTTTTAAGATTGGGTGCCTGTCGTCGACTATTGATAATATCATTTGGTTGTATTAAACTTTTCATATTTTCCGATTGTTCTAAAATTGGGTAGAATCTTTTAGCGTCCATAACGATATTTCTGTTTCGTGGGTTATGGGTCACAACAAAGGCTATTTTCCCGTCATCGGTGGTGTCATCTACACGACGTGGATTTCTAAGGTTCTCTATTGGAATTTTGGACGCCTTGTCTATTCCAGCGTTGATTAAATCAATTGGATAGTTTTGTCGTCGTAGATATATTTTTAATTCCTCCAAACGTCTAGAACGCAGGGTTCTATCTGTAATAATTGTACAAATTCTTCGTGCTAAATTAAACGGGATATTACGTTTTGTGTGGGATGGATGGCACGATCTAAAATCCAAATACTGATGCGTGTCCGTAGGTTTACAGTATAAGTCTGTAGTTATACAGGATCCATTCTTTATAATAAGAAGATCTAAAAATGGAAGTTCCGCACGACTTTTTTCTATTGTAAATTGTATAGAATCATGGAGGTTATTAAGAAGTGAATGGAATTTATTTAAGTCTTCTTCACTCTTGGTCCAAAATATGAAGCAGTCGTCTAGGTAACGTTTCCAATTATTTCTAATATAGTTACCAAAGTCGTCATCAAAGAGTTCCGGTATTTTCCCATATAATTGATCCTCTAAGTATCCCATCACCAAGGTTGCATATGAAGGAGCAACTTTTGTCCCCATAGCTGTTCCTTTTATTTGTAGATAGAACTCATTGTTGAAGTGGAAATGATTATTTTCTAGAACTAACTTAAGTCCTTCTAAAATGAATTCCTTTGAGAATCGTTCATTTATAATATCCGGATGTTTGTCTATCCAGTAACTTACTGCTTCCAGTCCTAAAGCATGTGGGATATTTGTGTACAAACTTGTTACATCAAAGCTGACGAGAATGGTGTTTGGGTCTACATTTTGAGGAATAAAATTAAGGAAATCCATATCATCTCTTACGAAGCTAGGTATTAGTTTGCATAGAGGTTTCAATAATATGTCCAATAAATTACTCAGTCTCTGAGTGCTTGATGCAGGTCCGGCGATGATTGGACGTATTTTAAGGTCAGCTGGTTGAGGTATTTTAATATATGCGTTATCGCAATTTTTCACTGCTTCTTGGATTTCCTTAGATTTGTGGACTTTTGGTAATCCGTAGAAATTACTAGACTTCAACTCAAAATGTGTTAAGAAATCAATTTCATCTTTTGTTAAGTTGTCGGCATATTTTTTAGTTAATTTCTCAACTTTGAGCATTGTGTGACGATCCTCGTTAGTGGTTAATTTCCTATAAAACCGACAGTTTTGAAGCTCGTTTAACACCATTTCCTTGTAATGGAGTTTGTCCATAATAACAACAGCGCCTCCTTTATCGGCTTCTTTTATAATTATAGATGAATCATTCCGTAAATTCTTTATAGCATTTTGTTGGGATTTAGATATATTACTTTTTATCGTGGAATAACAATAAAAACCGTAAAACCAAAGTCTCGACCAAAAGTAAAAACGAAATCTCCTACATTTGAATCTAATCACTCTTGCAAGTTACAACATTTTAAGAATCGTGATCTTCATTTCAATGTATTTTTTATCTCGATGGCACAAGTTAGGAAATCAAGTGCTTCATGTACGTTCTTGAGCCGTACTTCCTTGTATACTCAAAATAACAATATATCTAGTCCAAACACTTACACACTACAAAACATTTCTTATACTCTCAGCATTAATTTTCATATTACAACATTTACATAAGATGTTATATGCTTTTTATAATTCGATTAAAATAATCAAATATATTCTCATGAAGTAAAACCATGGAGGAGTAAATGCAATCAGAGAGCACTATATAAAGCTATTAAGTATATTCATGCAATATTTCTAAGTAAAAAGTAAATGTATGTTCATACATTAAAGAATTTTCAACACTGAAATACATCTCTTAAACGACATCGAGAAGGGATACATTGATTGTTTTGACAGATCTCTTTCAACGAACATGAAACAAGGTACAGTACGATAAAGATTTATTTTTCTATTAGCTTCATTCACTCCTGTAAACAGTAAAGATAAAGCGTTGTTCAGCATAATTTCACAACGTAACAAAATTGCCCTCCTATTGTATAAATGTATTTAAAATCGACAAGTGAAGTAAAGTGCATGTAAAACAAAATTGCTCAATGCACATGGCCTTTTGAAAATAACCCTCAAAAATCGTTTTCCTCATTTTTATCCCTTTCTTCAAGTGGCATGATAATCACATTATTGAAATATATCCTACTGGAAGGACTCAATATGCATCCGACTTAAGGTATGTCACTCGTGAAATTTGTTATATCAAGGATTTTTGAGAAGTATATTTTGGATTAGTACTCATATAGTATGACTCAAAATCGCAGAGAAAATCGGGGGTCAGTGTGCATCTAACTGAGCTACGGTACAATTAAGTTGACCTTTTTGCACTTAAATTGTAACTCTTTGGTTAATCACTTTAACCGTTATCATATTTTATCAGATGTAACCATGACAATAAACATAATCTTATTTTACGTAAAATAGTTTGAATAATATTTATCATTGAACAAATCATGCAAATTAATGCGCGTAAATTATTTTGTGACCTTTTTGCACTAAAAAGTCTCATATTTGGGGTATTAAAAATCTAAATAGGCAATAGAATATTTTCTTGTATCAAACTTTTAACAACTTAAGTGCTGATTGGTCAAAAGTATCGAGTAGTTTGAAATAATGAAAGAAAAAGTTGGGATCAGTGATGTAAATTTTGAAATATTGGTCAAAATATGCGATTTTCTGGCAAAAAACTGTGTAAATTTTATCTCGATTTCCTTAATATATCTTCATTTCTTGGCAAAGTTTGTTGAGCGAAGGTGTAAATTTTGTTATAAAAATATAAATTGAGACCTATATTTAATATTCCAGCCATATCATAACGGAAAATATTCTCTGAGTAAAAGTATGTGAGGCTTAAGTTCCAAGATATTAAATTTAATAAATGTGTAGATTTGCAGAATTTTCTGCTAAATATCCTTCCACCACAAGAAATAGTCCCTTATAAATCTTGTTTCTTTATGAATTTTTTAGCAGTTTTTTAATTGAATGTTGAACATTTTACATTGTGTAATTTAAATATGTTATAAAGATTGAATTGTAATAAATAGTTTTTAAGTAAGAGGTTTTGACTCAAATTTTCTAAAAGGCTGACGAGTGACATACCTTAAAAGCAATAAAACATTAAGATTTTTGCAATCGGCTTGTTTTGGGGTCCCAAAGTTAATATCCTAATTGTATTTATGTATTATGCATTCAAACTATTTAATTTAATTTCTTCTATCATAAGCTCAAGTGCAACCAAATATGTAACCAGTAGAAATATTCAGATTTTGAAAACTAAAATCCATGCCTATCTTGTGTAATATGTTCATGTATTCCCTAGCATTATACTTCGTTCTTCAACTTAAAATATATTTGTTCACAGATATTCTTTCTTACCTGAAAAACATGCAAACAAGAGCAAGATAAGATGCTTCATACTGTTTCTTCGAAAACTGAATGACTTAGCGCCTTCGTGTAGTATATCCTCAGAATATATGTGTGTTATGCGCGTAATTGTAAACTTCCGATCGCGAGTGATGTTAACTAAACAAACACGCTCTATCTGGGTTGAGAAATGAAAATAAATGATGTATTATAGGTAAACCCAAAAAAGCTCAAAACAAAAGAAATTTTCTATTTAGATCATACTAAAATCCTAGGATGGACCATTGATGATTAAGGATTTAGACGTCATGTACAATCCCAAAAGCTTGTATGTAAATCATATTTTGCAATCACAAGATCAATGTATAAGTAATGTACTTCATAATTATATTTATTTTAGCTTCCACTTGAGCAATAACAAACCTTTTCTGTAGCCTAAAAACAACAGCTTGAAAGAATTCTAAAATTATTTTTGAAACTCTTTCATCAAATAAAAATCTTTTATAGCTAGAATTATCAATCCAAAACAACTATGCATTTTTTCTGTTTCTACAACCATTACATATATAAATCAAACCTGGTATTTCAATTGATTAATACACTAGACGTTTTTGATATATGATTTTTCTTTCAAACTGAAGATGACTAAAGATTCACATAGAAAAGAATTGGCTAGAAAAGTTGTTGAAAACTTGCTTCCAACATAATCATTGAATTATTATTTTATGCCAAATTTAGTATATTAACTGCAACAGTATGTGCAAACAAATTTTCATAATGCGATAATTAGCGTTACTCGATTTGTTTGCACACACAGTTGAGCTCAATGGCCCTGAGTGCCGAGTAAAGGTCTTCTGAAGCCCTTCATCGCTACATGTATACATGTATGATGACGTTTCTATATGAATGAAAAATTCTCGAATGGGACATACAATCAATCAATCACACACAGTTGCAGCTATGGGATTTCAGGTTTCAAAAAAAATAATTCAATGCTTAAATATCTTTATATCCACTCTTTAAGCCATTCAGGGAGCTGAAGAATATGCCAGTTATAATAAAGGTTAGTCAAATTCGTGATATACATGTACGTCACTCTCAAGATTATCGGAACTTAAAAGTCTTGACACATCGTCTTTATTTAATGATGATTCTATCTAAATTTCTATTAGTTAATTAAATATGTATATATGTGTTTTATATATATATATATATATATATATATATATATATATATATATATATATATATATATATATATATATATATATATATATATATATATATATATATATGAGTCAATAACTGATTGGAACAAAAGTTATATTTATCGGTCGAATATTCGGTGAATTATTTCCAAAAGGAAATACAAGTCGTCTAATGTAAATGAAAACGTTAAGGTTTAACAAAGATAAAAAAAAAAAAAATTGGCAACAGAAAAAAAAATTGCATACGATGAAACAATTACAGAATCTTAGAAATAATGTAAGATTTTGACATTAACGTCCAACAACTCACAATTACTGAGCTGATGAATAGCTGTCAGAATATTAAGGACGAAGTCCAGGACGACAATTGAACGACAAAATACATCTCGACATTCTTTTCACACCTGAATAACGAGCTCGAGGAAGTTCAAAATTAATGAGGAAATCTTAAAAAAATTGTTTGGTTGTCCTCTCCCGACCGACTGGCTAAAAATGTCCTGACTCAAAACTTTTTAACTTCCAGGAAGCAATTCATTTTTATGCATTTCGAATATAGATTTTGTAAATTCAGCATTGATTTTGAAATTATTTTTGAAAAAAAAATTCTTACCTACCTATAGCTACCGACTCAAATTTCTCATACTGAGTTGGGAGAGGGCGAGCAAACATTTTAAAGTTGGTCTGATGCAAAAATTCGTACTGCAGTCCGAAATATCGTCCAAGAATTCTTTTTGAATTATTTCTGTGTATTAGACAAGTTTAGAGTCAGACTTCTGTCCTCCACAAATTTGTCTAATTCAATGCAGGGTTCCCTTTTCAAAGAGTTACTGTATGCACGATTTACATTAGTAACTTTTTAACCTTTATATGCTATGTTCTCTTGGTTTGGAAAACTTGACCATAAAGCATTTCAACATGTATAAATCTTTCATTGTGAGAGTACTTTAATCTTTTGCGTGAATTTTCAGATTTTCACTATACTATGGAGCGGTTAATGGTTAGAAAAAAATACATGTCAGAACACAGGAGAAAAATCATCTTTCAAGCTCTCCCTTGACTATTTTGCCAGCCACGGACGGAGGTCCTGGCTTTAAATATTCATTATTTCTTCTTGTTCAGATTGTTGACATGGTCCTCTATTTATGGAGAATTATTCCGTCTTCATAAATCGTTGACCGTTTTTCATTAAACTTTGGATGTATTAGCGACAGCATCTACTGCACCACCGGACCTAGTCACTTGCACTACCAGGTTCAGCTACACGCGTAAGCTCAAATTAGCATACTAAATAATTAGAGAAGAAATATGGAGACACTGACAACACTTTTCACCGAAATAAAAGCTTGCTTAGGTTACATAGTAAAACCTCAAAAACGCAGAGAATTAGAAAACGAAGGAAGTGTAAACTAGCCCTTTGGGAGATGCCGTATAAACAGAGATCCTGTAATGTAGATGCTGGCAAGAAAAAAATATGACTGAATGCTCAATGTCCATAAATACCGGTTTTAATTTGAAGCTTATCAATTGCAATTCGTCGCGTCCCAACATTATTGTGAAATTGTTTTTAACAGAAAGAAGGAACGTAAAGAAAACAAACACCCAACTGAACTGACCACTCGTCTACATGGCAGATTAGGAAGACCATTCACACCTAATAATGAAACACTGTAAAATTCCATTGACTCTGGGAAAATATTCACCTTCATTTTGTCAAGGTTTCTTTTGTAAAATGTTTACATCATAAGTAAATAACTTTGCAAGCTTGCCACCGGCCTTCAAAATTGGAGGTTTTAGGTTTGAATCTTACATGATCATTACCAGTAGCTTGAGCATATTTTGACACACCCTTCCCAAAATGTATATTTCGGGTTTTTTTTTTTTTTTTGTTTGTTTTTTGGTTTGTTTTTTTTTAAATACACAGCTAAATTTTTATATCCTTAACTTCATATAATGATGGTTTTTACACGATTCTTTTTGTGCCGAGATCTTACTATGACCGTTTTGAAGTGTACGATAAGTAGTCATTCCAAAGTTTTGAGCACTTTCCAAACAATGTCAATCATTTTCAAAAGCATCGAGCATTATTAGTAATATTATTCACTGACAGGCAAAATGTACAAAAACGAGCGATGTCGATGTTGACGTTATCGATATTGCCATGCCTATATCGCATCGATAGCAATCCTGATCTGTAAATCACAGTTTAAGTAAATAAATACCATTCACAAGGCCAGATCGAAATTGTAGATATCGACAATATCATGGCGATATATTATCGATCGAGATCTGTAAATTTTATATATTTTACGTTAAAGATATCGCTATCGGATCGACTTTGACATAAATATGCAAATATATATTTGTCACACATAGGATTAAGAGTGGGATTAAGTTTATTGCAAGGGTAAGGGGTTAGTTTGAGTGTTATGGATAGATTTAGTTTTAGAGTTTGTGTAAGACCAAGGGTTAAATGGGAAAAGAAACAAAATACAGCCAGAGTTATAACTATTATCTGTTGAACGACCATGATTCGATATAGATACGATATTATCGACATAGAAGATGTCGACAGCAGAACAAACTTGTAAGCAGAAAATATTACACAAAAATAAAGAAATGCAGCAGCAAGTGTCGTAACGACGAAGTACTGAACGATCTTATTCGCTATCACTACGATTTCGTCGATATCGAATACAAGGTAAACCTCATAAACAGAGAGTTATTAAGAAATACATGTGAATTTGAAACCGAACACGGTAGCCTAGTGGTAGGGCGTTCGCTTCGTGATCGGGAAGCCCGGGTTCGATTCTCGTTCGCCGCACCGCGTCAAACCTAAGACGTAAACATAGGTAGTGACTCTTCCTTCGCCAAGCGCCCGGAACTAGAAGTGAAAGTCACGGGTCCTTCGGATGAGACCTTAAAAACCGAGTTCCCGTGTCACGGTAGGCGTTGGCACATTAAAGAACCCTCACTGCTCAATGGTCCTGAGTACCGAGTATAGGTCTAAATTTGAAGCCCTTCACCGGCATACGGTGACGTCTCTATATGAGTGAAAAATTATCCAGTGGGACGTTAAATAACATACAATCAATCAATCATAAATTTGAAGAAACACTGTTGCAAGGGAGATGACGACAAACAGTCTTGACTAGATACTGAAACGATATTATCGATATAGGCGATATCTACACAAAGGAAAACTTCATCATCAGTTGAGGGATTATTTAGATTTTTATCGAAAAGATATCAACAGTAAATAATACCCCGGTAATTGTTAAGGGAAAGTATTCATACATACACATAGGTATAGATAAACACGGTAACAAAAAATAATCATAATCATCATAATCTATTGTCGATATCGTAACTGCATCGTGTCTTGGGATAATTATTGACAAGTGCGAAACTTTTGGCTCAGAAGACAATTTCGCCACTTCTTTGAAATCGATTGTAGTTAACAGTGAAAATAATGCTTGAAGGGAATTCACACTTATATGTAGTGGTTTTCTTTTCAGAAGACTACAAAAACGGAGAATTTTTTTTCTTTGGGAAGGGGGGGGTGTTTGAAATGGTTTTATATTAGGGGGCACATATCGAGATTATGATTTTTAAGATTTAACCGGGTTTTACGTAGAAAAAAAATTCCGGTTATTGAAAGGGTGAAAATAGCTGGCGGGTGGTTGCAAAATGGGTACTTAATTTGTCCAAAGTCGTCCTGCAGTTTTTAGAAAAGAGCCTTTTTTATTTTGCAGATCAATTGTACATATATCAGGTGTGTGCATAGTACTTGGCGTTTAATTTTTGATACTTTATACCAGATGTTGAACTTTGTTTTGGAAAATATTGCATATAGGGTATACCATTTGTAAGGATAACGC